AAATCTTTAAAGACTCAATCCGATAAGATAACTTCAAAGGGGAAACTCAATTCATTACAAGAGAGAAGAGGGGGAGGAGAAACATAAGATCCAACTATAATAGCAAAGCTCACGATACATCAAGATCGTATCATCTCAAGAACACGAGAGAGAGAGAGAGAGAGAGATCAAACACATAGCTACTGGTACATACCCTCAGCCCCGAGGGAGAACTACTCCCTCCTCGTCATGGAGAGCACCGGGATGATGAAGATGGCCACCGGAGAAGGATTTCCCCCTCCGGCAGGGTGCCAGAACGGGTCTAGATTGGTTTTCGGTGGCTACGGAGGCTTCTGGCGGCGGAACTCCTGATCTATTGTGCGTTCTGAAAGTTTTAGGGTATATGGACTTATATAGGCAGAAGAAGCACGTCAGAGGAGCCATGGGGGCCCCACGAGGCAGGGGGCGCGCCCTAGGGGGGTGGGCGCGCCCCCACCCTCGTGGGCAGCTCCCGTATCTTCTGACGTGGGGTCCAAGTCCATCAGGTGTGTTTCCTTCCAAAAATAACTTCTCCAGTTGATTTCGTTCCGTTTCGACTCCGTCTGATATTCCATTTATTCAAAACACTGAAATAGGCATAAACAGCAAATCTGGGCTGGGCCTCCGGTTAATAGGTTAGTCCTGAAAGTAATATAAAAGTGGATAATAAAGCCCAATAATGCCCAAAACAGTAGATAATATAGCATGGAGCAATAAAAAATTATAGATACGTTGGAGACGTATCACACGTATGCCAATAATTGATATATGTAGTGTTATCAATGCGACATTTAATTGAACCATGCCACCTTCAAATTTATGTGGTTATCATGCACATTAAACACATTAATATGCAGGAGAAGGACGGCCAACCAGCATGGCCATGTGGTGCATGTTGATTGGCCATGGCAAAAAACTTTTTGATTTTTCTTTTGGAATTTTTTTGGAAGATAAAAGTGAGACTTTTTTTCCTTTGAGAAAAGTCATTTTGAGATTATTTTTGGAAGATGGAAGTGAGACCTTTTCTTTTTCGTTTTGAGATTTTTTAGGTTTTTTCTTTTTCTTTTGAGATGAATGTGATGTCCACATGTTGCAAGAAAGCTTTTATTTTATTTTGAGATGAATTTCTTTAAGAGGGAGAAATACACGCACAACTTCCACTCAATAGACCCGCAATGGCGGTCCCCAACCACTAGTGGACATCAAAAGTGTTGTAATTTCCTAGCAGCAAAACACTTACTACTTGTGGTAGTAACTTTCGGGCTTCATTTACCATTGCATGGATTTTGATAACAATGCTTGGTCACACCTATTTTTCCTATATTCGGTGCCTTGCTTTATTTCATGGATATTTTTCTGCAACATGATGTGAAATGAATTCCGCATGACACAACTTAGCTACCACAAATTGAGATTTGAGATGTCTATATATATTCCTAGCTTATTCACTATATTGGTGAATCATGAATCAAAGCAAGACTCATTTTATTCAATGAGTTGCCACTGATAAAACATCATATCATGCACCAAGTTGATTATGATGTATATAATCATGGTGTGTGTCGTACACTTTACCAAGCCACGATGCCTGAGAAAAGCTCCATTATAGCATATATGATGACTTTTTTACCGTCTTATTGTACACTAGCCTCCTCCCATGCCATCACCAACTATATTGCGCGATTGAAGCTTGCTTTCTTAATGTGGCGCACTTGATCATATTTGAGACTTACGTAGATGGTCATACTCAACGCGTGTAAAACACAATGAACAAGCCAAACTAGAGCATCAACTTTTCCTTTGTATAAACTCAAAATGGAGTGAACTCGATCACCAAGAAGAGAAACCTGCATGATAATTATATGTTGATGAACACGTGGACCGGAGGTTGCAAGCGCGGAATGAAACAGGAGTTTTGTTGAAACTGGACATTTCCAGGGCATTTGATTCTTCGAGTTCTGTTACAGAAAGGGTTCTACGAATGATGGATTAAGTGGATTGCAATCGTTTTGTCATCTTTTAGCTCGAAGGTGATCGCCAATGGTGTTCTAGACAGAAGGATTGCTCATGCTAGAGATTCGAGACAATGGGATCCTATCTCATCCCTTGTTGATCTATCATCGCCACATAAGTTATGTTTGCACTTGTTCCAGAGTCCTTGGAAGAACAGGTCCTTTGGACCATTGCCACTGCTAACAATCTCGACATTGCAAATGATTTTGTTACTTCCCGAGGACGTCATGTTGTTCCTGCGATCGCTGACTTCTCATCTGTTATGCGTAAGATACATGCTCTTGGCGTTTGGAGAAGCCTCGGATCAGGTGAACTAGGCGAATCCTAGGTTGTTCGCATCAGAGAAGGCATTGGAGGTAAGGAGAGAGTGGATAAAATCCCAAATTTGAAGCATTGACAAATTCCCTAACAAGTATCTTGGCTTGCAGCTTTCGATCATGAGCCTTAGTAAAGCTGATTGGCAGCCCATGCTTGATGCAAGGTTCAATTTCATCCATGCTCGACCGAGAGGGCATATTAATAGGGTAGAGAGGTTGGTTCTAATAAATTTGGTCTTTGCTACCAAACTTATCGACCATTTGCTCATCATGGAGGCCCCTGACCGGGTTTTGGAGGCGATTGAGAAGTGGATGAGGGCTAAGGTGGGTCTTTTCATGGGAAGGTTCTATTGCGGTGAGTGAAAGCAAATGCCTTGTGACATGGAATGTCATCTGCAAGCCCAAGCAAATGGAGCCATGGTGATAAAAAATCTGAAAATTGCAAGCCTTGCACTCCGTGTCCACTAGGAATGGTTGCGACAAGCTAAACCTAGCAGGCCTTGGCAAGGATTGCCTTTGTTTGTGGACACCGCTGCCAAACACGCGTTTGATAGTCTAGTGTAGATTAATCTAGGAGATGGGCCAAGATTCAATTTCAGAGCAATCGATGCCTAGAGGGGCGTTGTATTATGGATTTGGCACCGCTTGTGACACGACAGTTGGGAAAAAAACAATCAACAAGTGTACAGTCAAGGAGATGCTTATCAACTGGAGATGGCTGGATGGCATAAAGCCTGAACTATTTGGCTTGGGTGTTGCACAACTCAGTATCCTATGGAGGGCAGTTCAGGAAATAACCACCGTTCCCACTTGATTCTTTCTCTTGGAAGTGGTCGACACCAGGTCAGTACTCAGCCAGTTCTACATACCAAATATTAACTAACAGTGATATATATTTAGATGGGCGAAAATGTATGTGGTGCCACTGGCCTCCTCTCACTTGCATTTTTTTCTTGCTGGCATTATCAATAATAGACATCAGATAAGAGGGCTAGACACGGCCTTTAGGACCAGATATCCCCTGTTTTTTGCCTGCAGGAGCAAGGCGCGGTGGATCATGCCCTCTTGGGTTGTGTGTTTGCCCGACAAGTTTGGTCTAGTTGCTTCTATAGGTTGCAGATCCCCACAACAATTCCACACCATGATAACAGACGGGAGGAGTGGTGGCTTGAAGATAGGGCTGCTTACAACGACAAACTTTAGAAAAGGCTTCGACTCGCTTATCATTCTGGTGTGTTGGCATCAACGGAAACAAAAAAGTGCCAGAGTCCTCGACAACCCGAAGCAGCAACGTCCGGTGCAAGCGCTGATTGGTCTGATCATGGAGGAACTTGGCCAATGGAAGGCGACTGGTGGGGTGGTTTAGAAGAATGTAATTAGGGAGTCGTTCCTTAGCTTTTTCCTGGAGTGTTCGGACTTTGGAGTGCTTGGTCTTATCCATAATGCTATCATCTTGTACATATTTAATATTCTGCTGTCTTCAATGAAAATATGGTAGGCCGAGGCATGCTCATGAAAAAAAAAACCATTTCCTTAATAACAAAGCAAAACAGTGTAAATTAAGGAGGGATCGAACTGACAAAATACTACACAGCCCATGCGGCATCTCCAGTCCCAAGCCGTGGGCCGATCTGGCTGACTGAAAACCGTGGGCTGAAGGACGACGTCACCGGTACTAAAAAAACACCGCACGTCCCTCTGTTTGAATCTGGGCGCGTGGTCCTGGTCCCACATGTCATAGTCACCAATTTTGAATCTGGCTTCTCCAACAGACAGCGCACACCCACCGCCGATAAAAAAAAGGTCGCATAGTTTCCACGCGAGGGCACCCACTGGCGCAGTCCGGACCACCTTCGGCCCCCACGTCAGATCCGACGGGCCAGGGCCGCCCACGTCAGATCCGACGGCTCAGAAGCCCATCGCGCACCCCACGCCACGGAGGCCCGCGCCGCCACCCTCTTCTCCCCCCCTCCCCTCCGCTCCCCGTCGGTTCCACGCTTCAAATTTGCGTCCGCGTCGATTTCACGCGCCGCTCCCCCCAAATCGACTCCCACTCCCACTCCTCCCCCGGCGCATAAATACAAATCCCCAAATCCCAATCGAGACCAAACCCTAACCCTAGCGAATCCACATCGAGAGATCGAGAGAGAGAGAAGCATGGCGCGCGCCAAGGGCAGGAAGCGCGCGGCCGCGGCGGCCGGTGACAGCCAGGCGGCGGCGGCGGCGGCGGCGAAAGGGGGCCGGCCGAAGCGCTCCAAGGCGCCCCCCAAGCCCAAGCCCGAGACGGAGTACGTCCACGAGCCGAGGAATCTGGTGAGGACGCTTTCCCGACGGTTTCCTGCTCTCTGCTCTCGATTGCGTGCTTCGGGTTCGCTAGGTCCCTGCATAGGCGGCTGGCGGCGGGCTTGATTGGCCCTGCTGGTACGGCTTAGCGTGCGTCTGTGTCCGTGCCGTTGCTCTTTGCTGCCGCGAGCTTTACGCTCTTCGAATCAGGCCAAGGGGATGGCGATCTGGTTCATATTGTTGCTGTTCCCTTTCCGCTGAAATATCTAGATTTGTTTAGAGTTTGGTACTTGTCCGATTGATTATGGTTCTGTTTTCTCCTGGAATGCTGTGCTGTGCATTGCACTGGAGTTGACCCATTGCAACGGTAGCGAATGTCGTATGCTTAGTTGCTTTCGTCTAGGAGATGATTGTTTACAGGACATGTTTTCCTGTCCCTAATAATAGCGTAAGTGTAGACAATTAGCATAATGGTTGTCTCCTACGCATGTCTGACCCAGTTTCAAAGTGCAAATTACTAAAGAAAATGTTTCCTCTGCTTAATGACCATCAGATTTTCCAATGCAACCCCCTAGCTTTAACTGTGATGTGGCCATTCCGTTCAAGTTGTGCTATGAGTTGGCTCTTTTGGCTGAATTCATTAGATGCTTCACTTGAAGGAAGGGCGTATGCTTTGTGCCCTTGTTTGTATTGTGTTTTCTGCATATTGCCTGACGTTCAATTACTATCTTCAGGAGGATCTTTGGCTGTCGGCTTTTCCTATTGGGACAGAGGTTTGTGCGCATTCATGTTCTTGTTTTTAATCACACGCAAACATGCATAATACTTCCCTGTCATACACATTTGGCCTTACTTTTAATGCTTGTTTCATCTGCAGTGGGAAAATATTGATAAGATTAAGGAGTTCAACTGGAACTTTCAAAATTTAGAGGTATGATGAATAGATGATCTTCAAATTTCCCCTTCAATATGATGTTTCCTTGCATTGTAATACATTCTTTATTGTTGGTGAACAGAAAGCTCTAGAAGAAGGGGGGAAGCTGTATGGGAAGACGGTCTACGTATTTGGCAGCACTGAGCGTAAGTAGTATTTTAGCACTGGCTGGCTAACTGGCACTATCAGTTGTGTTAACAATCATCTAGAAATTAAGTAATTCTCCTTTAGAGCTATTTAACAACAGTTTATTAATACTGAAAAATTCCCTGAGCATCCCTGTAGGCTGTACATACGCAGTTCTATATTATCCTTTAGAGCTATTTGACAACAGCTTATTAATACTGAAAAATTCCCCGAGCATCCCTGTAGGCTGTAGATATGTAGTTCTATATTATCCTGTAGAGCTATTTTACGACAGTTTATTAATACTGAAAAATTCCCTGAGCATCCCTGTAGATTACATGGTTTTATATAATTGGTCTAATGGGCTTATTTCTGTTGCTATGCAGCTCAACTGTTGAATGTTGATGGTGAATCGAAGATAGTACTTATTCCCGTTGTGGTTGCTGTAAGTTTCCATCCATTCCTTTTACCTGAGAATTTATCTCTTTGTTTTCTTTGGTATTCTATTTTATGTTCTGGAGTGGATTGATAGAAAGACGCATTTCTTAAATTCTTTCTCAATTGCATGTTTTCTCATGATTTTACTAGCCATATTATATTTCATAATTAATGCATTACATAAAACGTATGGTATCTTGCATGTAATCAGTAATGACCCTTGCTCGCTTGTACATGAAGATAAAGAGACCCACTGCACTCGATGGGGAATGCATGAGTATTTGTTGTGATTAATAATCTCATGTCTTTCATGAGTAGACAATGATTAAATGGCTTGCTCCACTAATCTATCCCATTAAATGGCTTGCTCCACTAATATACCCCATTAATGTTAACGAGGCGTCTGAGATTATGATCTGCTATTCCGGCGGATATATTTTTAGTCTTGCTTATATTTATCTTATCTTACTTTCCTAATTGTGCTAAGTCATATGCATAAAACTCTCGCTGGGCTGGATTGTGCTAAGGACACTTTCTACCTTTGTTATGTCAGTCTTAAGTATGACTATTTTGCCTGGGGTTCCCTTTTTCTCCTATAAACCCTGGAGATGCAAACTACGTGTTTTTGCCGCACTTTTGCTGATGGTATCGAACCCACAATGCAGACGCCCCCCCTCCCCCTCCTGAAATTAGGTGTGCAGATCTTGGTGTATCTGTACATTGTGATTGTTTAATTGTTTTGCTTCCTGAAGATCTGATATCTTTCTATTTTATTCACTGGTCGATGGATTTACAGCTCTTGCATTTCTTACTCTTGTACAGGTTGATTGCCCTTTCCCTCCATCAGATAAAATTGGTATAAATTCTGTCCAAAGGGAAAATGAAGAAATAGTACCAATGAGGGCGATGAAAATGGCTTGGGTGCCCTATGTTCCACTAGAGGACCGGTACTAACATTTTATTTATTTCAACTATATTTCTTATATTCTCTTTTGGGCTACCATATCGTTACTTCCCCCCCTTGGCAATGTAGTTGTGCATTTGTTTACTTTGCTCCTGCTTTGTTTTCAGGCTCAGCAGAATTGACAGTTTGAAAACAAAAATATTCACTCTTGGCTGCACTCAGCGAAGGTTGGTATTATTGCAATACTGACTATTCATGTTTGATGGAGCTCTGTTGCTATCAGTTATTCATGTTTGATGGAGCTCTGCTCTAAATGCTCCCATCTTAAACTTCTACTCCCTCCATTCCTAAATATAGGTCTTTTTAGAGATTTCAATGTAGACTACATACGGATGTATATAGACATATTTTAGAGTGTAGATTCACTCATTTTGCTCTTTATGTAGTCCATATAGAAATCTCTTAAAAGACTTATATTTAGGAACGGAGGGAGTATATATTTTTTCCTGGAGTTGTCCCAGGCTCCCAGCATCCTAATTTTGTATATATGGCAGGTCTGCCCTGAAGCATCTGAAAGAAGAACGAGTGAAGAAGTTTGACTACTGCATGCCTTGTAAGCTGAATTTTGATTGTTTCCATAGGCCTGCTTTTTGTGTCTTCTGAAATATCTGTTGTTGTTATTGGATCCTATGGTTCCATTTCTGTACTTCTTCTTTCTTGGGTGAATATGTAATCTACATGTTTCATTTTTCCCTTAATATAATATAAAATATGACCATGACTATGTCTTAGTTTAATATTTTGCAATACATGATCACAACTAGGAGTACGTGTTAGTTTAATGTTTTGCTATGCAATAGTATGTCTGGGATGTGAAGCCTTTTGCTTACTGTTTTTTGTTTCATTGGGACGTCACTTCATTGGGACTTTGGATGTTTAGTTTGCTGCTTTTCTTCTGCTGGACGAATGACATTTCATTTATAAAAAATATAAATGGCATCCTTGTTTTAAAAAGTGCCAGACAGGAGATGATGTGGCTTCTATAGCCTAGCACTTTTAGAGCTGTGAATGGTGGGCCATATATTTAATAATCATTGGTTAAAAATACATATTGGTTGATTTGAAACAATTTGGTTTGATACCACTATATACCATGTTAACCAAGCCCAATTTTTCATGAACTGTGTATTGGGATCTCCTTTGGTGGTGTTTGTACCTTCAAGGTCAGCAATTGTGAAACAAGCATAGAGTAGTGTGAGTTAATATATGCGAAGGGTATTGATCACATGAGGAACCCAACGTACCCACTCACCTGAGTAGCACAACTAGTTGACTATATTGTTTAATCCCTCCATATATATATATATCTGAAATGAAATATTTGCTACTATGGTTCCCTTGATAGTAATGTGATGTGCTCATGAACCTGTTGCAATATAATATATTTTTCCGAGGCAAGAGGCAGGAACACTTACCCTGTTGCAAAAATCTTGCAGATTATATGCCACTTAGTCCTCCTGAAGATGAAGATGATACCGTTGTCAATATCATGTATCCTTTAGAACCCCCGGTAAGCTTCTTTCACAAGGTCTATAACACCATGTTGGAAGTTGGAACTACTGTCTTAATTGTCATGAAAGTTTGTTGCTTCTCTTATTTTTCCTCGGAAGTTGGCTGTTCATTATTTGCTCATAGAGGAGCCATAATCTCGTAATTGCTGATAGAGAAGTCAACAAAGATATCATGTGTGTAGCAACATGGCCTCTATAATCTACGTCAAAACATTATAAAAAGGTTGTTTGATTGTGAACTTAACTCAGTGTAGGTTGTGATGCTTTTAATTGACTCAAATCAACGATAAGGGCAGTCACCAATAGTTCTAATTTAGGCTCTGTTTAATTACTCTGAGGCCCACATGCTAATTAATTGTGTTGCACACCCAATCAATCTTGTCTAGATGCTGCATGCATTTTGTTGCCAATGTGCCAATCAAAGACAATCAATTAACAATAATTAAATGAAGACCCGGGGAAGGCAAGGAGCCTTGTATTTGCCAAATTCTTGAATTTGGTTAGGGGCCTTGTAAACCGTTAAGGAGGTTGTAGTTATTTATGGAATGTTTGGTAACTAGGCTTATGAGAGAATCTGCATGACATATCTCGAGTTGACCTTTTGACTTCTTTCTATGTACATGTAGATTGCCTGTATCTGTTGTATTATAACAAGCCTATGAGTTGATTATCTTTTGTGTTGATGTAGCTGTGTGATGCCAGTGATGGGGTGTAATATATTTCTTATGTTTCCCTCGTGAGCATGAGTTATCCCAGACAACTTCTCAAACTTAAGGTAGCTCATGCCATAAGTTTGAGAAGTCGTTACCCAAAAATGTAGCACATATTTCTTAGGTTTGGTATATCTATGAAGGGATAAAACAAAGAACTGCTCATACCATTACCCGCTTTTAGCTAATGCTTCACGAAAATTATTTTAAGGAGTGTAATTAAATGCTTCCTAGTTGGCTCTTTGGCTTTTATTTCTAGTAGCTGTTAATTCTTGTTATAAACTACTGTATTTACTTCTTGCTGCTTGTTGCAGATAGTATGCGACTTCGACTGGGAAATGGATGATATGGAGGTTTGTATGAAATTTGTTTTGTTTCTTATGCTACCCATGGAAATGTATCTTTTTTAATCATTGCACTGCCGTGCAGGATTTTATTGATGAGAAAGTCAAAGACGAGGTCTTGCCGGAGGATGAGAAGGAAAAATTCAAGGTGCACATCCAATATTTTTTGTCCTTGCTCTGCTGTAGTGTATAACTTAGTATAGTCAGCTGATTACCTTGAGAAGATTTATTTTCCTAATTTTGCTGGAATGTTTCATTAACAGGACTTCATAAAGGAGAGAGTTAGAGAAAGGAAGAGAGAGCTGAAGCAGGTTCGCAATCAAGCAAAATGTTAATTAATTTACCTTCACCAAAGAATCTAATTTATTCACTACTCAAATGTTTCTCCAAACCTGATGCAGGCTAAAGAAGCCAGAAAGAAAGCTATTGATGATATGGATCCAAAGTTGAAAGCGGCATTTGAAAATATCCGGTTTTACAAATTTTATCCTGTAAAAACCGATGACACTCCTGATGTGAGCCAAGTACAGGTGTGCAGCAGCATTGCTCTGTATTCCTTAGAAAGGACTATTTGTCGAACAAGCCTTGCATTTTAACTCTGTGTATATTGTACTCTGCAGGCGAAGTACATCAATAGATATTACCGCCACGCGCATGAACTGCTGTGATGTACAACCTCATAGTTTGCTGCGCACAATATGAAGCTATCCATCCAAGCTACGGGTGGAAATTTTGGAAGACTTGGAGATGTGCCTGCTTGGTTGGCAGACTCAATTCGGGGCTTGTATTGGGCCAAATGGATAACTTTGTTGCGTCTGAACTCAATTGTAGTACAGTTTCACCCATGCTCCTGAGTGTCTCCTCCGTCGGCATTTTACTTCTCTTTGTACTGCGATATGTAACATTGTGGGAGATAGTTGTAGCGGCGAGAAAGTAGATCCTGTAAGAGTAGAACAATTATTCTAGGAACAGTTTGTTCCCTTTCTCACCCAATACAGCTCTGGCTTCTCACCCATTATTGTTTAGCTTACCCTGTGTATTTTGATCGGATCCCTATATATTTTGATGTTTAACCCTGTGCGCGTTGTGTAAAATTTGTGCTGTTCAAATCTTGCGTTGCAACTAGTGGTAGTTTTTTTTTCCTTCTTTTTTCCTTTAACTTGTTAACGGCGGTCATCCCGTTGCCAAGAGCTATTCGGCTGTTGGCATTCTCAACGTGGCGATGATTTTGAGGATACCACCAGTTGTTTTAGCGATGGTACCCGAGCTGCTCGTACACGCGGCAGTTTTTGTCGCAAAGTTCATTTTGTTATAGTATTACTTGGATTAAGAATTGTGCGCGGTTCAAGTTCAGACGGTGGCTGTAATCCTCGCAGGAAGGCCGTTTTAGAAAATTTTGGCAACCCTTGTTTGCACCGTGACAAAAAAATATACTGCAACATTTGATCAAATTCCGGTAAATTTCGGGGAGATGAAAGACATGTTGATGCGTTGCATCAAATCGAGCGAGCGCACTGACCGCAGGTAGGTGGGGTGGGTAGTGGGTACAGGAGCTCATGATCACAGGTCACGCACGACAAGTTGCGTTGATGCGAGCATGAGCATCGGCACGCTGTCTGTCTCACTGGAACCACATGCAGAGGAAAGCCCCCGCGGTCCGCGTGGCGTCCACCTCTCCTCCACGTTTCGGCTTCCCGGGAATCTGCAGCCTTCCTTTTCCCACCTCCGGGCCCGGATTCCTCGAACCGCTCAACTGGGGCGGCAGCGGCAGCGTCAGCGTCTGCAGCACGAGCGAGCGAGCGAGCGAGAGGCAGCGGCGGCGACACGAGCCGGGAGCGAGCGGCGTGCGTTCTCCGCCGCGGGCTGCAGCCGCCCTCCTCGCCTCTCCTCCGGCCGTCGCGGGGGCGCGGTCCGGCGCTAGCGCCCGCGCAGCTCTGCCCCCCGCCTCCGCCGGTAAGCACCCGCGCTCGCCTCCACCGCTCCTCTCGGAATCCTCCGCGGCCTCCCGCCCGCACGCCATCTGCTCGACGGAATGCGGCGCCGAGCAGAGACAAGCCTCACTAGCTTCTCTCGCGCGTAATTTCGGCCACGGGCCATGCCGCGGGCCTGCGGCGTGAGGCAGCAGAGCAAACGACAAATTCGCCCATGTCTAGATGCATTCACCATCTGCCCTCTTCTGCCGATTTTTTTTTTTTTTTGGCTTTTCCGACTGCCTTTTTTCTCTCTCTTTGCGCGCGGATCCACTCGTCTGATCCCGTGCTGGCTGCAGATTCCGGGCGGAGATGGAGGTGGTGCTGCATGCCGGCGACGCCGAGGACTGGGTCTACAAGGGAGAGGGCGCGGCGAATCTCATCCTCAGCTACACGGGCTCCTCGCCCTCCATGGTATGCTATGCTCTGCTCTGCTCTGAGTAGGTTCGTTCTGTTGTGCTGTTGGGTACCTACTTAGCTTTCATCTATTTACTGCAAGATTCTGGACTTGGTTTGTCCCTGCCTAGATTGATTGGTGTACCGATCGGGAAGTTGGTGGCCTAGAATCAGAGATGCTAGCTTGTCCCCACTGCTCTGTTTGATAATTAAGCACGCATCACTGTAGCAATCAATAAATTATGTGTAGGGCTGCCCTCTTAATTTAGGCATCTGCTTTCACTTTATTATTATTGAAACATGAGAGCAGCAGGGGTCAGGTGTAGCTCTTTGTTCCCTACCAGTTTTTTAGCCATTTCTAACCAGGAAACAGCCATCCTATTTATCTGTAGTTGGTTCCCATGATTCCCCATTTTGCTTTCGTTTGATACATTCAGAGCTGACAGGGATTATACTCTGCTGATCTACCTTTGGTTTGCATACAGCTTGGCAAGGTACTGCGGGCCAAGAAGGTCCTAAATGACAAGGCACAACCAGCACCAAACTGCGTAAACTTCTCAAGCTACGAGCAGCTCGTGTGGGGTGACATCCCAGAATTGATCGAGTCTGTCAAGCAAGGTTCTGTGGCACAAGCTTATGCAGTACATGTCATGAGCCAACATCTGGGGCACGATCATGTTGATGGCGGGGTACGGTTTTATATTCGACCCAGTTATGTTTGTTGCAGTTATATGTTTGTCATAAATTTATCATCATTTTTTTTTGAAATTTCCAAATTCCGTGTTCTTCTAGAAACAGCGAGAAAATCTCCTAATGTTAACATCACCCCAGTTAATCTGGTCTATAAGGACAACATGGTATCAGTATGCAACCTATTAAGTTTGGATAAAGATATGCTGTCATTTTTGTTAAGATCTTTCAAAAGTCATTATTCTCTGGATCCGCTTCAATATATGTCAATTGTCAAATAATGTCATTTTTTTGTGGTGCAGGTTCGTGTCTCTGTGTCTAAGGATTTTCTGGAGATTGTTGGAAAGAATGTGCTCAGCGCCCGTCCTGCTTGGCGAGTGAATGCAAGCGCAATTGACACCAATGCTGATTCTGCCCTTCTAATTTCTGACCACTCCTTATTTTCTGGTAAAGTTTTGGAACCTGAACCCTACTATTACAGTGCATCCCATCTCTTGTGAGCATGACGAAAGTGAAAATTTCCCTCTTAATGCAGCAAACCTTGGATGGAATGTTTGTAGCATGAGTTTTACTTGCTTTGTTATTTTCTATTTGTATTACATGGTTATTGAGCTTCTTTGCATGTATATTTTTTTTAAGTTCGCCATTCATAAGTCTTGCAAAAATAGCTTGCAGTCCATGGTGGTTTAGGATTTCTAGTGCTACTCGCCACAGCCAAATGGTAGGATCAAGATAGTTGCCCAACCTCCAAAAAAAAAACAGCACTATTTTATGCCAAAGTCGCACTTCCTTTGAAACTTGGGATGTTTTTGCATGGATACATATAGTAGGGATTTTCCTAACTCCATTAATCTGAAAGATACAAAATTATGTTTCTTGTATTTTACGGATTTGTATTGTAGATTTGATCTTGTTTCACTGCAAAAAATCTTTGGTTTCTGTCCAGAAGGATATTTGGTCCAGTAATGCTAACCTGTATCATGATTCAGTAGTGGTTTCCATTGGGTTTGTGGTAGGCTATTAAGAACTCTATGGTAGATTTCCCGCATTTAGATTTGTACTTTCTTACACTAAATTTTCTAATCACAGGAAAACCTAGAGGTAGCAGCTGTATTGCAGTGGAGATAAAGGTACACTCGAAGCTTCATTTATTTTTCTTATTATTTGTTTTGACATATTTATTTCCAATTGACATGCTTTTTATATGCTTCACCATCCAGGCCAAATGTGGGTTTCTTCCATCATCAGAATATATATCAAAGGAAAATGCTATTAAGAAACAAGTAACACGGTACAAGATGCATCAACACCTCAAATTTCATCAGGGGCAGGTATGTCAATCTTAACAGATTTCAAACTAATTATAGCTATGTTTGATAGATTATATAGAATCCTAGACTATTCTTTGTCCACTGAAAGACAAAGTAGCCTTTTGGCAAAAACAAACCTGTCTTGGTGATATTTGTTTTGAATCAAAATATCTTCAAGCATTCTTGTTTATTTAAGAATTCAGGGTTGCCAGGTTGACATTCTTTGCAATACTGTAGTATCTCTATTGGTTCTTGAAATCAGGTTGATTCCCAACACATTTTTAACAAATTTCAGATATCGAAGACAAGTGAATATGACCCCCTTGATCTATTCTCTGGGTCAAAAGAAAGAATACGCACGGCCATCAAGTCATTTTTCTCGACTCCTCAGAACAACTTCAGGATTTTTGTAAATGGCTCCTTAGGTTTTGGTGGCATGGGAGGTGGTGCTGATAAGGTCCTTGCTAATGAAACTGAGAAGTGTCTTGAAGATCTGAGGAAGGTTAGTGGGCTACAACTGTCTGACTTTATTGAACTCTTGTCAGAGGCAATATCTAAATCTGGAGTATTGGATAAACTTTTGGCCACTCAAAAACTGGATGATCATGACATCGAAGGGGCAATTCATTTGTATTACAACATCATCTCTCAGCCTTGTTTGGTCTGCAAAAATATAACTGATGCTGAGCTATTGCACAAGTACTCTGTGTTGCATTCTCTTCCTTTGGACAAGAGCTGTAAGATTGTGAGGGACTTTCTCATTTCTGCTACTGCAAAGGACTGTAGCCTCATGATGTGCTTCCGGCCAAGAGAGTGTGAAAGAACAGATTCCGAGTATGATTCAGTTTTTCTCCAGTCAGTGAACCGAGCCTATGATTACAAGGTATGTTTCTGTGAAATGTGTTCCTGTTACCTTCATCTTGTATTTGTCAGCAACTTCTGTACTTGTATATTTTACTGTTGAACCGTTGATTCCGCTTATGCGTTTCTTTTATGCGGTGTTCGTTTGCACGTGAATGACATAAAATTGCATATTCCATGTGTAGGCATACTTTGTTGATCTGGATGTGAAGCCTCTGGATAAGATGACACATTATTTTAAATTGGACCAAAAGATCGTCAATTTCTACACTAAGAGCGGGGAAATCGGGCGAGTTCCTTGTGATTCTCAGAAGGGGGTAGGCACCAGTGATGACACAGCTGTTCAGCCACAACATTGAGTAGCTCCTTCAACTTGAAGCCTCGGCACATGCCATTGGTCCTGTTGTTTCGCCTTGCGCCTGTTGTTGTAACCTTGTAAGTACAGCTCCATTGTCGAGGAGCTCTTCCCTTCCATCGGGAAAAAGTCACTGCTGTTTGTTGTCGCTGTTACTGTAGCTTATGAGTGGTACATCATGTATACCTACTGGGTGGCTCGGCGCAGCAGAAAATACACCAGGAATTCGATACAGACACCAAAATGCATGAACAGACTTTTACAGTGGCAACCACATGTTGCAGTATCTGCAGCAGAGATGGGAGCTCAGGTTTGCCTTGCAGGCTACGGTGTAGCCATTTCACCGCTTCCCTCAGAGATGATAACTGGCGTATGTACTACTCCCTTCGTCTCATATTAATTGTCGCTCAAATGAATGTATCTAGTATTGAAATATGCTCAAATGAATGTATCTAGCATTGAAATATGTTTAGGTACATCCATTTCTGTGACAACTAATATGAGATAGGGAGTACTGCACAACTTTTGAGCTTGCGGTTCCTTCCCTGGTCTCAGTTGCTTATTGTTTCTGGACAACATTGTCGTCTCTATTTATATCGTGTAGCTAGATTTTCCATGTAGCACCTGAATTCTAGAACGACTGAGCAACCAGACGAGACAATATGTGAATTAGACCCAATGACCATATATGGTTTTGTCTCAAATTATCCGAATGAACTAGAGCAAGTTCATGCAGAGGATCGAAAGCTACATTTTTTTTGGGGGGTGGGGGGTGGGGGGATGTACTGGAGGATTGTAAAGTTGGACCAATGCAGTGGAGATTAGCATGGCCACTACAAAAGGATGTCAGGTCTCATTGAGAAAAGGTCCATTTTCTGGACATTTATGCACTGGTGTTTTTGCATCTTCGTCTAATTCTCATCGTTTCGTTTTAGAGGTGTTATATGATGAGACCCCCACCAAAAATAAAATGATAAGAGATGCGATACTCCCTCCGTTCCAGAGTATAGGCTGTATTGTTTTTTGTGCAAGTCAACAATTTGAATATTTGACCAAGATTGTAGATGCAATATCTGTAATAGCTAATAGATGAAATATGAATCTACTTTTCATGATGGACCAAATGATATAAAATCCGTATTGTGGATATTGCTATATATTTTAAAAACCTTGGTCAAACATGCACTTGTTTAACTTTTGAAAAAACAAATACACCTTATATAAAAGAACGGAATGGACGGAGTATAATTAAGCACTCATATATATGGCGCCTTGTAGTTGACAGAAACGTCTCCTCCCACATGATATAAAGGAACATCAACTACAAGGTGCCTTATATACAACCACTTGCATCTATATTCTGTTAAAAATAGTTATAATTAAGTACAGTTTGTCTAATTCATATCTAGATGTTTTTAAGGATGTTACATCTAACCTCCCACAAATATATAATGTAGCAACGAAAAACAAAAAAACTAGAACAAAAAATAGACCACAAACAAAGTGGACATCAGCTTAGATGAGACATACTATATCACATATAGATGTTTTTTTTAGATGAACAGGGAGGTTCCCCTTCCCCAGTTCCATTACTTAGCATGAAACCAAAACGCAACCTCCAGTTATACAGCAGCTCACTGAGAGGAGCAGTCAGCCTAAAACGACAATATGAGTGAAAAGGGAACCGGGAATACAGATCTTTGAAAAGATCAGGTGGCACGCAGGCCCGAAACTAAAGTAACACAAATCAGACTGAAACTATTCACTAAAACTAATCACATATAGATGTGTCCTAGACAGACCTAATTAAGTAATCATTTATTTTTATTTTAACATTCCAAAACTGGAATTTATTGGCAAGTTACGGACGGCTCTCCTTAAGAGCTTATTTATTACATCATCACATGCCGCTTCACATCATGAAGCGATTTCCCCATCAGCCACAGGGGTACTCGCACAGGCAGTAATAGGCAGGTTTCCAGTGGTCACCGAACGGGTGGCAATCCCCGCCTAAGAAGCCCTCATGCTTGCAGTGACTATGGCAAGGAAAGTCCACACACATAGAGTGAGAGTAGGTCTTGCTGAACGTTGTGCAAACAGTCTCACCTAGTCACCTTAACCTTCAGACCCTGCAACAAATTATGCACAGGATTTTGGGTAACCACTTCATCAGAAGATAACACACCGAGAAACAACTACAGTACATTCTTCATACGATTATTGTTTCAGGCAAGGTTTACCCCGCAGGAAGCAACAGGAATGCCAGGAGCAACAACAAGCACAAGCCCGGCCTCTTGACCTTGTGGACGTCCATGTCTCCGGAATAAGCAACCAAGAAAGGAAGGAACGGATTAAAGTATGTTAACTTACTAGTGTCATTGACCCCCTCTTATAGACATGGATGACAAAACCTTACAATAAACCCAACAGAAAATGTTGTATTTATCTCGAGTATCTACGTAGTTGTTTGTACTGCATGATGCAGTGATGTATGTGTTGTACAATGAAGAAAGACACTCCAATGGAAAAAGAAGCGCTAAAAAATCCCTAGGTTGTTGATACATATGTGTGTTTTTGGTGCGCGGCAGTACTTCCCAAAATCGTGCCTTTTTTATTTTTTGCTTAGACGGAACCCTTCAAAAAGCCTTACAGAAAATGCCATACTCATCTAAAAAATGCAGCTGCATATATCTGTATGATGCAACTATGTGTGTACACTGAAAACACACATGATAGAGGACACCCTAGGTTGTTGATACATGCATGTGTTGTTGGTCTGAGGTATATCATGATGTTTGTATTGCTCAAAATGGCGCCTTTGTTGCTTAGCGGTTGAATTTTTTTTATCTTGATGATGCAATTGCCCCAAAGGGAGGAGGCACCAGTGATGACACAAAGGTTGATCAGGTCGAGCACGATGCGTATGATGGAGATGTGCAACGTGGCGAGGGTGCCGATCGGAGGAGATTGAAGGGCTGCAAAACCTCGTTGGCTGGAGCTGGGCGACCTTACGATCATGTGGTGGCGTTTTGGTTCTTTTGTGGATGTCTCATGTCTCTGTCTGTAGTTAAAAACTTATGGGTGTTTGCTGTGGATATTCGGTGTTGTCTAGGTTTTCGCCCCATGACATTCGTTTCGATGGCGGGCGAATGTAGTGGGTTTCCTGGCAATGCCCGGACTCGCTTTACCTCTTTCCCTCCTCCTGACATGTTTCTGAACTCTGTATTTCCGTTCATTTGCAATGGAAAGGGGTATAGCCCGGTTCGAAAAAAAAGGTTGATCCACAACATTGAGGAGCTCCTCCAAGCCTCTGGACCAGAAACGGCACATGAGATTGGCCCCTGCTGTTTCTTCTTGCGGCTGTTGTTGTAACCTTGTAAGTACAGCTCCAATGTCGAGGAGCTCTTCCCCTTGGGCGGGAAAAAAGATGCAGCAGAGCGGTCGCTCACTGCTGTTTGTTGCCGCTGTTATTGTAGCTTTATGACTAGTACAGGGATGAATACCTACCGGGTGTCTCGTCGCGGCAGGAAATACGGCACGAATTCGATACACAGACACAAAGATGTACAGACTTGTCTTACAGCGGTGCGACCACATGCTGTAATGTTTGCAGCACAGACGAAAACTCTAAAGTTCTCGTTGCAGGCCACCTGGCCACGGTGTTCCCTGTGTGCTCTGACGGTCTGACGGGCATCTGCAGTATATCTTCTGAATTTGCTGTTGCTGTTTCACCGTACCTCTTGAATTTGTGCGCTGTGCCGTTTGTGAAAGTCTAGAATGCACCAGGACTTTCACTCTTGTCTATGGCCGGCCGGAAACTTTGTATTTCCTGGAAAGGGGTAATGCCCGGTTTAAAAAAAGAAAAAAGAATGCACCAGGAGTTGAGCACCAAGACCACTGTGCTAACAACCCCGCACGCATGAAGTCATATGTACAGGTTAAAGTGGTTCCAACACCCAACGACCACACACACACAAAGGGAAAGGACGACTTCATGTTTGCCACGACGAAACAACAGTTGAGTACGTCGTGTGTGCGACATAAAATCGGGTCGCCTGATCCCGGCTCGTGTGACGCTTCCCCGGCTGAAAACCTGGTGAAACTAAAGGTGAATCGCTAATTCGCTATCTAGAATATCTAGACTCCGTAGCCAGTGGACTTCCCGTTCGGGGAGGTTGAGCGACCCCATCGGGGTCCCTAACCACCTGAAACCCAAACGGGACACCACCGCTACCCGTCTGTATATAGCCCGGGACCAGACATCAGCAGAGCCGCCGGCCGGCGTTGTCGTTGTCGTGGTGGAGGTCGGCCGGGATCGGTTCTATCGACCACGCGAGAGCGCTCATGTCGAAGAGGACGGTGCTGCGGGTGGACACCTCCTGCGCCAAGTGCAAGCGCAAGGTCATGCTCGCCGTCTCCAGCCTCCAAGGTACGTACGTTTGGATCAGATCGCATGGCCGAACTGGCAGCGAGGCCATGCATTTCTTGCTTGGTTAAGTGTTGCTCTTACGTGCTGTGCCCAGGTGTGGACAAGATCGAGGTCGACTCGGAGAAGGGCACGATGACGGTGACCGGCGGCGTGGACCCGGTGGACGTGGTGGAGGCCACCAGGAGGAAGGCCGGGAAGCGCGCCGACGTCCTCACCATCGGCCCGCCGCCGTCGGCGTCCACCGCGTCCAAGCCGGAGGAGAAGAAGAAGCCCGAGCAGCAGAAGCCGCAGCAGACATATGTGGCGGCGGAGAGGAGGGCGCCTGAGCCGCCAGTGACGTTGTACGTGCACCACGTCCCGGCGCCGCCGCCGTCGTGGCCCGCGTACGAGCAGTGCGCCGTCGTGCCCTGCCACTACCAGCAGCAGCAGGACCCCTGCTCCATCATGTAGCTAGCTAGCTAATCGTCTCTTTGTGTCACTGCTATTTGGACCATAGTACTAATCGATATAGGTAATTCAAACCCCGGACCGATACCTCTGCGCACTAGCATTCCACCGTGATTTTCCTTCGAGAG